TTGTAATGAATCGAATTCCTGTACTCCCGAAACCTGAATTCCACCTTGCCATAAGCAAAGACCTGATTCTGGATTGGATCGGTGTATCCTCTCCCACCTCCAGCTTCCCATAAGCCAGGGCAACTAAATTCTCACCAAACTTCCTTGACTATCCAAGCAGATGTGTTGGCAGGTGGGGCCGCCGAAACCTCCCTCCCCCCCCATAGCAAAGACAGACGAACAGCAGCACAGACCGAATGGCACAGATGAATTGCAGTGGAACAATGACCCCTGCTGGGCACATCTGTGTGTGCACCCTAGTTCCTGCTGCTTTTGTGGATTAGGCTGGGTAACTCATGAAGAAGAAGAAGAGGAAGAGTTTGGACTTGATTTCCCACTTTATCACTACCCGAAGGAGTCTCAAAGTGGCTAACATTCTCCTTTCCCTTCCTCCCCCACAACAAACACTCTGTGAGGGGAGTGGGGCTGAGAGACTTCAGAGAAGTGTGACTAGCCCAAGGGCACCCAGCATGTGGAGGAGCGGAGACGCGAACCCAGTTCACCAGATTACGAGTCTACCGCTCTTAACCACTACACCACACTGAAGGCCAGTGTTGGAGGTAGGCATTGTTGGGCACCCGCCAAGGCTCACATTTCTGCAGGGCTCTGCTGCTGCTGCACCTTGCTGTGCTGCCACTGCCTATTTGCCTGCCCTCCCTGAGCTCTCAAGCATGAACAAGTTATGAGAAGAGGTGGCAGCATCCTTCCCACATAGCATCCTTCGCATGCATCCTCTGCTCAGTTGGACGGAGGGAAGGGGTAAGTGGGGACTTCATTGAGGGGGCCCTCAGGGCACCACACCCAAGACCCACTGAAACCTGACACCAGCAATGGTTGCACAAACTGACTACCATGGGATGTCAAGTACAGTGGTACCTTGGAAATCAGACGGAATCTGTTCCAGAAGTCCGTTCGACTTCCAAAATGTTCGGAAACCAAGGCACGTCTTCTGATTGGCTGCAGGAAGCTCCTGCAGCCAATCAGAAGCCCCGTAAGCCCCGTTGGATGTTCAGGTTCCAAATAACATTCTCAAACTGGAACACTCACTTCCGGGTTTGCGGCATTTGGGAGCCAAGGTACGACTGTATTCAGCGACTGACTTGACACAATTAGGAACTAAGCTTGGGTAATGTGAGTTCCTTCCTCCTTCCATTCCCTCCTTTGGAAAATACTTTCCTTTCCCAACCAAGTTCAATTGAATGTTGGAATTAGAAAATGTTATCTTATTCTCAATGACCAATTACATCCCACCCCCATCCTCCCATTCATAAGCCCTTGAGCCTTGCCCTCTGCTCTTGACCCAATATTTACTTGGTAGTGGTGGGGGAACAGCTAGAGTGATCAGGAGACATCTCTGTGGGACGCCGAGTCCTCCCAGGTATATGTAATACTGAAATGACAGGGTGCCAGGGACTAGAGACCTGAGAATAGTTTTCCAGGACAACCAAGTACTCAGTAGGGATTTCACTTACCCTGGGAAATAAATGTCCCAGGGCTCCTTGTGCCTGTGCTGAACTTGCTGATGGTGTCCCAGGTGTACGAGGCATTGGGATATGCAATTCCCAGGGTGCCTGTAATCCCTACAGAACTCTCTGGTGACCCAGAAAATGTTGATTCCCAGGGCATCTTCCTGACCTGCATGCACTCATGTGTTTAATTTCATATTCTGAGTTTCAGAAACGATTCCCAGAGTAATGGTGCTTGGTTTTTCTTGCAGCTGAGAATTTCCAGGCAGAAACACCCCCATTCCAACCCAAATCAATCCAAACTTTGGCAAAACTGTTGCAAATATATGCTCAGCAATCTTTTGAGCCTTCAGAGAATACCTTGGGGTTATCTGGCATTAGAAGTCTCACGGGACAATTTTTTTTTGAAGCAAACCCTTTTGAAGGAAATACGTTTCCCAGTTCACCCCACCCCTCCAGGCTCAGAATGCTGAATTCTGAACATGACAACAGACACACACAACTGTCTTGCCAGGAGCCGAAGTGGACTAGGAGCCCACTAGGGTCCAGATTTTCCTAAGGCAGTCATCACAAGGGAAGAGCTACAGCCAGCGGCAGACTTTGGGCTTTCAAATTTCAGTGGCGCCCTGAACATAAGAAGAACCTGGCTGCTGGATCAGGCCAATGGCCCATCGAGTCCAGCATCCTGTTCTCACAGTGGCCAACCAGATGCCTGTGGAAAACTGGCAAGCAGAACCTGAGCACAAGAGCACCTTCGCCTCTTGTGGCTTCCAGCAACTGGCATTCAGAAACTTGGCTGCCTCCGACTGTGTAAGCAGACTATATCCATCATGGCCAGCAGCCATTGACAGCCTTCTCCTCAGGAGTAGGGCTTGTGTGCCAGACCAGGCTAAACTCTGCATTTCCTTTGTTACTTCCTCCTTGGAAACTGAAATACGTCAGCAGCTGCTGCCTGAAACACCCTTTGCTTGCATCTCTGAGAGCTGGAAGCAAAGCATTGGCAGCCATTTTAGGAATAGGAGAAGATTTCCTTTGACTGCCTTTTAATCACAGTAATAACAGTAATGGATGCAGCAAGCGGAATGGATGGGGAAGAGCCAATAAGCCGACATGCGTAGGATAAATGAGGAGAATTTATAGCCATCTTCTCTCAAGCCCCTCTCTGTGAAACAGCTCTGACCCGTCAGTTCATTATAGGCAAAGTTTCAAAACAATATAATTTAAAAAAACAAGGAACACATAAAGAAGCAGAGAGGAATCAATCCCTATCTTCCTCTTATGAGATGATATTCAAGGAGGTTGTAATATTGATCACTCACTTCACAAACTCTCCCCCCCCCTTCTAGTGTTTCCTTGCCTTTGAGAACAAACTGCAATATTTGAAACCTTTTATTTTTAGGATGATCCCTGAACTTTACAAAACAAGCAAATCATTTCCAAGGGCTACAGGTGGTTCTTATTTTTAATGGTTGGAGCCATTAAGTACATAAGGAGGTCAGGGCAAACATCTGTGAAGCCCAGCAATCAGTTCTCATGGTGATTAAGCCTATGCTTTTTCTGGGATGCCCATAAGCAGGAAATGAGCACAATAGCCCTCTCCTGCTCGTGATCCAGTGACTAGTAACCAGAATTGATCCTGGAGGTGATGCAGCCATTGTGACCAGTCACCATTTACAGTACTATATCTTCCGAGAATTTGTTAAACTATCTATCTGCTCCTGTGTCCTTCAGGCAGCTTGATCTGAAGAAAACAACAAAGCAAAACACCCCTTTCTACACAGCATGGGAATAGATGTGGCCTCCTGCTCATAATGTAATATTATATTATATTTAGGGAAGAACTTGGTGGTAGACCAGCTGCTTTGCCTGCAGAAGGTTCCAGGGCCAATTGCTGGCATCTCCATGTAGGGCTAGGAGAAGAGACTGCAGTCTGAAACCCTTCAGAGCTGCTGGCAGTCAGTGGCAGGAACATTGAGCCAGATAGAGTACTGGTCTGACTCACTATGACAGCTTCCTGTGTTCCTGTGTGTAATGCACCTGCAGATGAAGGTGCTGCTAAAAGGGTCAACTCCAGGAACTGGTGGAAGTTGGCAACTTTTGTTCCAAAATAATGACAATTGGTGGCATGCAACTAGCATGAACTCAGAGTAGATGGATTGAAATAAACAAGGGTGTGGGTGTGAGTGTGAGTGAGTGTGTGTGTGGGGGGGTGCATTTATAGAGTTGGAAGTAATCCTGAGGACCATCTAGTTCAAACCCCTGCAATGCAGGAATAGGCAGCTGTCCCATTCAGGGATCAAACCTGCGACCTTGGTGTTCTCAGCACCACGCTCTAATCAACTGAGCTATCCTAACTTCTCATGATCATTCATTTCAGTTGGTCTAATCTGAGTAAGCCTAGTGTCAAATTCTACCCATTATTATTTTCTTGACTGGATCTAACAATTAGATGCAGAGAAGATTAGCAAAGAGATTATACTGGAAAGGGAAGCCACAGAATGGGACTCTACAGCCCATGAATTTTCTGCTTGTACTTCTTGTGACGTTAACATATGAGAGTGCTGGAGGAGAAATAGTTAAACAGGTTACCCAATCAGGACCCGGGGGGTGGAGTCAGTGGAACTATAAAACCAGCTCTGGGAGAGGAGTTCGTTAGGAGTTGGGTGGTTGGTTGGAGTGGGAGTGAATTGGGATAGAGTTGTGGGTAGGTTGAGTTAGTGTAGCGAAATAAGCTGAGTCAGGAACAGTTAGCGGCTAGGAAGACAAGTAAATATCTGAGAGGTGGTTAGTGAGTGAGAGCAGGTAGCGGAAGTTATAGGACTGGATAGGCAGCCCATGATTGTAATTGACCGATACCGTTTATGAAACCACATGCTTGTTAAACTCCAATAATTAAACAGAAGTCTATGTTCCAATTTAACCCTGACTGGACTCAGTACTGTACCAGGTAGGGCCTGGGTGGTGGCAGTGAGAAATAAAATGGTGGAACAGGGATCAATAGATGGTGAAACGTCCAGGGACCCTGTGTGATCGCCACATGTCTGCTTTCCCCCTTTGTTCACCAACAGGGTACGGCCTCACTGTCCCCTCCCCACAAAGAAAGCACCTCTGCCACTTTGGCCAAGAAACAAAGGAAGATATATTAAAACATTATAACACAACATCACCTGTAAAAGAATTCCTGCCGAGTCCTCACTGCATACGAAGCAGTGGCGTAGCGTGGGTTGTCAGCACCCGGGGCAAGGCAAGTAATTTGCGCCCCCTAACCCGTGGATTTGCGCCCCCTAACCCGTGGATTTGCCCTAACCCCAGATGTTGCGCCCGGTGCGGCCGGCCCCCCCTGCACCCCCCATGCTACGCCACTGATACGAAGGAAAACTAAATTGTATGCACATGGGATGCCATGTGCAACATCCAAGCACAGGTTTATGCGGAAGGAGAAGTGAATTTTTGTACAAATGAAACATCTGGCAAAGGGAAAAAAATCATTCCAAATGGAGAAAAACAATATTTTATTTTATTTTTTTTAAGTTCTACTGTTCTATTTTCAGGGACATTTACAAAGCAAAGTTGTCTACATAAACCTCCTTTTTGAAGTCAATTAACATTAACTTGTCACTATTAGTGTTTTAAACCAGCACCTCCGCCTCAAAAAGCCTCTAAATTGCCATATCATCCAGAACAGGGAATGTTGTATAACAAAAGGCAAAACAGTGTGACAACACACACACACACACCACACACACACACACACACACACACCTCAAATTCAAAGGACAGAAATCTGTAAAAAAAAAAAATTGCAAGCCCTTCCAAGCTAGCTCCTTTGAGACTCTCCCATCCCTCTGATAATTTGCATCTCATTTTGCAACCAGGGATGGATCCCTAAAGAGGTCCTGCTGGTTGTGGATCAGGCCTGCCTTACAGCCAGCCCTCTTCAGCCAGGACTTTATTATTACTCATTCGTAATTTGTTAATTTTATTGTTATGAATTCCTTAAGTCATTTATGTACCTTTGGGGGGGCCCTGGATGTGTGGAGTTGCCTGTCTGGTTAGCAAGACACTCTTCATGCAAGGCATTGTTGACTTCATCATTACTATGTCCAGTCTGAGGTTCAGCCCTAGAACCATTTTCTGGAGGGGAACAAGCTCAAATTAAGAGCTCTTTATGGAAGAGGACCATTTTGGCTGCAGTGGGTTGTTGGGTTAGTTGTTGCTTTGGATTCTTCCAATACGCAGATGACTAGGAGGGAGTTTAAAAGGAAGATCTGCAAAGCACATCTCTTTTGGTGATCCGCTGGTTTTGAATTCCTTTCACACCACATTCATAGAATCAAATAATTGGAAGGGATCCTGGGGAACATCAACCCCTTGCAATGCAGGAATATGCAGCTGTCCGTTATGGGGATCGAACCTGCAACCTTGGCATTATCAGCACCATACTCTAACCAATCGAGCTATCCATTCAGGTCATGTCTGACACTTATGCTTTGCTTATTTCCTCTAGCTTCACCTGGAGTGTTGCATATTTTCTCTCAGTGCCACCTTTAAAAAAAGGCATTTGGGAATAAGCAAATTAAGCTTTGCCAGCTGAAGCAACACTGGTCTTGCGAAAGCTCCCTCTTTCCTGCAAGCTAATCCACCATGCTTAATCGAGATCATCAACACCACGAGGAACAAATTGCAAATGCATGAGGACTTTCAGGCAGCGATTACAAGGGGAACAAGACTTCAGGTAGTCTATTTTGCCATCTTAAACTGTGATGATGCAAATGCATTTTGCTTGCATTATGCCTCATCCCGCAGGTTAGCAACAGATCCATATCCCCAATTACGTGGCTCTATTTCAGTGGTGATAGCTAAGGAGGGGCAGCCTCAATTGACTTCTTTGGGACACGGAAATGTGGATAGGAATGCAAATGATAACATTTTGCATTGTCTCTATGGAATGGGAGGGGAGATGTAATGCATGTCCTTCTTGCTCACTGGAAACCTGGACGTGATGCTCTCATCAGCCTGTTCTCAACTGGCCTCTCTCCAGCTGTCTTCATGGATAACTTACAGGCATTCTTTCCAACATAAAAAATGGTTATGTTAAATTGAGTGGGGTGGGGAGGCTTCATAGTGCACTAATAGAACAAGACAAATCAGTCACCATCATGAGATCTAGCAACCTGCTCTGAGCTCTCTCTTTTTCTATCTTGTTTGTTTATTTTTTAAAAACACTAATGCGTAATTTTTATTACCTTAAAGAACTTTCACCCTGAAATGAAGGCAACAACAAAGCAAGAACAGTCCAAAACAGGGACAAACAAAATTCAGAGTGGTTGTCAGGGGAGAACAAGTTGGGCAACAAAGAAAATTGCTTCAGCAGGTTATGAAATCTTTTTCTACAGATGGTATCAATAGGACCTTGGATGAGAGGTGCTTCCCCCTCTAAGGAACTCTTCAGAAGTGAGACAAGATGGTCCTTAGGGGCTTTGTTGAACTATATACTTTAAATTCCCTTTCAGTGAAATACATCTGTATCTATACATTCCCCCACATTTCTCAGACTTCTTAAAACCTGCCTCAGTTTCTGCATTTTGGAACATTTCTTCTTCAAAAAATAATAACTCCCCAGAATATAAGGGGTCCTAGTGTCAAGATCTTTCACACCACAAACTTTTAAAAGTCTAAAGCAGAGTGTAGTTTAAGTGGGGAGGATCTTGCTTCTTTTTGCAGAGGGCTTAGCTACAAAGTAATTTTCAGCATGCAAAAGGTGTGATCTCTGTTAGTCAGATGCTCTGTGTGTTTGTGCAATTGAGTGTGTATATTTCCAGGTATCAGGCGGGGGGGGGGGGAGCAAGCTGCTATAAAGAACAGGCGTGAACAATAAGTCCACTCACCTTTTTTGGTGGGCAGTGTTGTGTCCAGCCATCCGGGCCCCTGCAGTGATCCAGCGTGGGTATGGGGAGTTGATGCTGCCCTGGTGATGTCCCAGCCGCGTCACTGGTAGGGCCATGCCCAGTGTGGCCCAGCTGGCCAATCAGCACCAGTGGGGGCATGGCCACAGGAAATTTAACCACAGAGTGGTTGGGGGCCTCTCCTCTCTCTACTTTTTGCCGGATCTCCCAAGCCACCCACCCTCTTTTCATGCTTTGCTCTGACCATGACCTTGCTATGGAACAAATGTCAACCGCCATATTGTTGGGGCCGGGTAGGATTTTTTTCCACTTGGCAAATTGGCACCAGCCATTGGGTTTTTGCCTACCTTGTAGCAATATTCACAGCTTTGTGAGGTTAGGCATTGAGTAAGCCTTTGTTTGGATGGAGGGGAGGCTGTAGCCTCCACCTGTCCCTTCTCGATAAGGGTATCCTGTTAAAGGGATCCAGGGGTGTGGATCCTGTCCAATGCCTGGACATGGGCTAGGGCCATGCCATGACCCCAACGGGAACCCCTTGGGGTGCCTCTATTTGATGTAAGTCATAGGGCTCCCCTTATTGGTCGTTTACCCTTAGATGGACTTCCTGCAGACAGGTGAGAGTCGAGATATAGCCTGGCTTCACCCAATGCCTAAGCCAAACTGCTCACATCTGTAACCAATAAAGTTGTGGCCTATTTGAACCCATAAAGGAAGAGCCCAAGTGCTTTAAAATGTGTCCAGTTTCCACTGAAGATTGAGGCTCTTGGGACTTTGTAGGAGATGGCCAGTGGCCTGCAAGCTTGGGTACCAATTCTAGGGACTGGGTGAAATGGTTCCCATGACGACTGTAGATCTTTGGTTAGGATGGTACAAGCCACAGCAACACCCTTGCCCTGGTTCTCACCTCACGCTGATTCAGTTTGCAACAGTAGGTGCACATGCACACACACACACACACACACACATACAGAGAGAGAGTCCCGTTGCAGCATTGTAAGAATAAATTTCAGAACTTCCAGTAATAACTCTTCTTCTAGATAATAAAACAAAACAAGTGAACCAGAGCATATCAGCCAATATCATCAGAGGGTTGAGGGGAAGGGAATAGCTGAGACATCTAATCAATCTTCCATTAGCAGGATAGATTTCGCCCACTTTCTTCTATAATTTGAGAAGCTGAATGGCTGGAGGGAGGGAGTATGTATCAATGGGCCACCACGCATCCTTTTGCCTATCAATTCACAGCCCAAGCCCGGTTAAGTAGCAACAAGGAATTGTTAGAAGTTTGTGGGTTTTTTTCTTTTATTGCTGTTGTTATTAGCAAACAGGTTTTGGGGTTGCGTCTACACAGCAAGAGCCTCCATTAAAAGTCAACAGGGCGTCTCCGATGGGAGTGGATAAGGGTGCAGTTATAACAAACAGAAAGCTGGATGAAAGCAATAGTGGTTACGTTGAGAATTCCAGCGGCGTGGCACAGACCTTCTGGTGGGAAGAAAAGTGATGCCCAGCTCAGATTTCATCTTCCCTACTAGACACCTAGCATGAGCTAAGCAGATAGGTAGGGGGAAAGGGATGCATTATTGAACTAGGTTTGCATTTGGGGTTATTTTCTCAGGGGCTGAAAAGCTGTTACCAAGAATAACATGACGGTGCCCTAATACAGCTAGGGAGACGGTCTTCATTCCCTCCTAGAATGGGGCATGCACTACTGCATCTTCTTCCTAGAGCACCATTCTCCACCTCCCATCAATTACAAAAAAATAAGAAAGGAAAAAAGATTAAAACAGCATGGTTAATACAGCAGCAGCAGTAGAGACATCCATGAAAATTTTCATATGTTCTTCCTCTCCTAGCACAACAGACTCCTCTTGTCATCGTCTAGGATCAAGGTGCTTCATTAGAAGTGACTCCATTGCCCTTGTTGACATAGAAGGGGCGGTAGTGGGACTGCAAATGGAGAAAAAGAAAAAGCACAGGGTGATTTTAGATTAAGAAGCAGATGGATAGACTTGTTGCCTTCTGCATATCTGATACCCATCGCCCTCCTTGCCAAATGGAACTGCAAGGAGAGACAGCTCATCAAACTCTATAAGGTCCTGTGTATGCAAATTATTATCATAGACTCATAGATTTGTAGAGTTGAAAGGTACACCCAGAGTCATCTAGTTCAACCTCTCCAGTGCAGAAATCACAGTTAAAGCTTCCCTGACTGACGGCCACCCAACCTTTCTTTAAAACCCTCCAGTGAAGGAGAGTCCACCACCTTCTGAAGGAGTCCATTTCATGGTCAAAGCAGAAAGTTTTATAACATTCAGTCAGGATCTCTTTCCTTGTCATTTGAATCCAATGGTTCAGGTTCTACCCTCTGGAGAAAACAAGCTTACTCCATCATCCACCTGTCACTTCAGATATTTGAGGAAGACTATCAGAGCACCTCTCAATCTTCTCTTCTCCAAGCTAAACATACCCAGTTCCTTCAACCATTCCTCATAAGGCTTGGTTCCGAGATGCATCGTTGTAACTGTGACAGTTGTTGACAAAGATCTGTCACAGTCAATCTTGAGCCAGATTGCGTGATGTGAAATAACTGGATCAAAATGGTAACAAGAAACGGCTCATGAAATTTGATTGAGTCCAGGTTTAAAAGTGAATACTTTCCAAAACAATATGTGAAGCGAAACACATACATCCTTTGAAAATTGTGTTTCTCTAAAGATTGCAATGCAGTTCTCCAGCCAAGTGATGTGTACAAAAATGGATATAAATGCACATTTCTTGAAAATGGCATGGAAAAATGTAGTATATGGGGAGAAAATGCTATGCAAAAGTGCATATATTAAGAGACATTGCATACAAATGTGTGTCTATTGGGAGATTATGTGTATTAGTCATGAGAAATTTTTTGCGAATAAAGATATACATATTCACAAACTATTGTGGCAATGTGGAGAACTCAACTTAGAACTGGAAGAATGAGAAATCAAGAGAAACTGAAAATGACAGATAAAACCATTCCTGCTCGTAACAGCAGTCTTTCATTTTTGGAATTTTTTGATCCAGTGAATTTCCTATCTTAAAGAGAGGTGGTTAGATGCAAACCCTACTGTATTAGCAGCATTCCTAATAACCCAGCTGGTTAAAAAAAGATCTATGCTGATTGTGAAGTGTTTGCAATGGGTGGTGGACAGGAACCACCTGCCCTTTCACTCGGCATCACTCTCCCTCCAAGTTCCTGCTGTTCAGCACTGCCTGGAGTATTAAAGCCATTTGCTTTATGGTGCCAATTTTGTACCTAATTAAAGAGGGGAATCAGCTACCCTTTAAATAACACTCAATGGGCTGGTGGGACAGGCCTCCTCAAGCCGTGCCGCTGGCTGCTAGGACTCATGTTTACAGGCCTTTTTCTAAGGACTGGATTACTCAAATACATATTTAAAGCAGCTTTAAAAGCAGGATTATTGGCCCAGTAGACCATAAAAGCTCCTGCCGAGTCTCGGCAGTCCAGTGGAAGTACATCTATTCTGGGACATTTAATGCTCTTTATTTATCAGCTCGATTGTTTGCTTTTGGGTATAACTGCAATTCAAGGACCAAATGGCTCTAGCTACTGAATGTACATAGAAGACCAACTTAGCATCATTAGTGCAGGAAGATGGTGGAGCTGGGCAGTTGCTAGGGCTGTAACCTGTTTCAGCATCTCCAGATAGGACTGGGAACATCCCCAGGTGAGCTTCTGCCATTCAGCTTAGGCAAGACTGTGCTAGCTGTACAAAGGTCCTGATTCAGCATACAACAGCTTTGTATATCCCTAGAACCTGGAGGCCCGTCAGTTAAAGAGGCCAGCTACTCTACTCAGTTACTCTAACAGGGGCAGCTCCAAGATCAAGCAGGATCCATCTCGGGTGAGAAACACATCCTTTGCAAGCCAATATGATTCCCAACATCACCAGGCAGAGCTGAAAGTGCTCCCCATCTGAAGCCCAGGAGAGCCACTTTCAGTCAGAAAAGAGTGAGCTAGAGGAACCAAAGGTCTGATTCAGTATAACACACTTCCAGGGCCTTTCAACTTTCAGCCATTGGGAATTGAGCCCACAACCTTCTGTATACTAGGCAGAATCTCTGCCATTGAGCTGCGGTCATTCCTGGACTCCAGGCCCAATTGAGAACAAGCTGTAGTTCCCTCTGGAGGTGCAGGAGACTCTAGAGCATATTCCCAGTTTGGGTGGCCAGCTGAGATGAAAATGGCCCAGATAATCTAGCAAATTACACCAAGGATTGCATTCAACCTTGGCCAATCCCCAGGAAGCCAGTGGCAGGCATTGCCCAAAGTATATGTGATTACACCACATTATTTTTTCACATACTCTCTTGCGCACACAAAGGACATACCCATGCAGATTTGTGGAGGAGGAGATTAATGCCCCACTCCAGTCATAAAATGATTGTTCTGCTAAGCAAGGATGGGCTGGTTGCCATCCCCAACAGGGTCCTCGGCTCCACTACACAGTTCTGTGTCTGATTTATTCCCCAACACACTTCACCCAAAATCAGTGGGGTCTTGTGGTGGGTCAGAAAAAGTTACTTGGGTGATTGGATCAGGCATCTGAACCAGGGGAAAACACCTCCATCCCCTGGGAGCCATCACAAGAAGCTGCCTTATACTGAGTAAGATCAATGATCCATCTAGCTCGGTGTTTCCCAAATTTGGGTCTCCAGCTGTTTTTGGACTACAACCCCCATCATCCCGAACTGGCAAGACCAGTGGTCAGGGATGATGGGAACTGTAGTTTGAAAGCAGCTGGATACCCAAGTTTGGGAAACAGCAAGCTAGCTCAATACTGTCTTCAGTAGCTGGCAGTGGCTCTCCATGGCTTCAGGCAAGGTCTTGTCTGGCTTTGTTTGGAGATGCCAGGGGCTGAACCTGGGACTTTCTGCATGCAAATGAGATGCTCAACCACTGAGCAATGTCCCTTCCATCCCTCTTATCCATATGAACAATTAGGCATGCAAGAGGGCCAAAGGTTCATCCTCATACAGGCTGCGGATGTCAGTGTTCTCAAGTAGCTTAAGAATTTATATTTTTTTCATAATTTTGAAAGGCTTAGGCCGTACTGTCATGATCCAAGAATGGTGAAATTTGCAAGCCTCCTGTCTTCTATTTGGATGCCATGCAGTTAATTATTTTTATTAAAAACAACAGCCGACAATCAAGATTCTCTTCATCAACAGAGCTTAGCCACTATCTCTTTCTTTGATCCTCCTTAATCACTTTCTCTAAATCCTGAGTTGTCTATGGAATTGTGCTGTCTTTTTCTGCTCTGTATATGTGAAGCACATGAGGAAGAGCAGAGGGGGAGGTAGGATATTGTACCAGAGCTGGTGTTTTATCACTTTATAGCCCTATTTGATAACTAGTATTCTTGTGGAACCGCTTTGGGAAATCCATGACTTGAGGGCTTTGCAGTGCACAGCTGAGGACTCAGATGAAGTTCAGGCTACCTTCTTGGTGGGTAAGCACCAGTAGCTTATTCAGAGCTTCCTGACCAGAGGACACAGACCTGCCACTCCCTTGCAAAAGCCAACATCTACAAAATAGAATGAGGGCCATTTAACCAGCCAGCCAGCTTCTCCAGAGAGGTGGAGCGTCCCATATTTCATGCTCTGTCAACCAATGTAAGGCTACAGTTAGCTCCAGAATTTTGGGATGCCCTCCCACCAGAGACCTTCATGGCTCCATCCCTGTCATCCTCACAGATGTAGGTGAATAATTGCTTACTCCTTTCAAAAGCTAGGACAACTAGCACATTTGTCTCTGTTCTTGACCATTTATCTGTGTATTGTTTTGGGAACAGTTGCATTTTTTAGAGCTATAACAACAACAACAACAACAACAACAACATTTTCTGATGGTTGATGGTGGTGGTTGTCATACTGTGTGTTTCTTAGGAGGTTTCGTGTTGGAAAAAGGTGGCATGAAAATTCTGTAAATAATAGTAAATGGATGGGGAGAGTTCTTCCCCTATCCTCGATTTACAGTGCAACGTATGCATGTATTTTGTCTCCATTGTTGAAGGCAGTGTGACTTTGAATACCAGTTGGTGGGAATCACAAGTGAGAAGAGTGTAGTTGTGCTTGTGGGCTTCCCATTAGAGCATTTGGTTGGCCACTGTATGAACAGGATGCCCAACTGCAGATAAGCCTTTAGCTTCATCCAGCAGGACTCTTCTTATGGAAACATAGCATTGTAGAGTTGGAAGGGACCGCAGAAGTCATGTAGTCCAACCGGCTGCAATTCAGGAATTATGGTTAAAGACTCCCTAACAGATGTTCTTATGCTCTTAATCCCACTCAGTTAAACAGAGCTTACTTTCAGGTAAGTAGGGTTAGGGTTGCAGCCCAGAAGGCCTTTTGGGTGGAAGGTGTGAAAAGCGCAGGTCTAATGACTTACCAGCATGCTCTGCTTGGAGGACTTCCATGTCTGAGGTTGCACCTTAGTGGCTTGGTGCCTCACAATGGAAGGGTAAGCTGGAGGAGACACAAGGCATCTGTGGTTATTATTCCCGGAAGAACCTCCCTTGCATGCCGCTGGGTGCATTCCAGAGTTAGAAGGACACCTTGTTTAAACATAAGACTGAAAAGCACAGCAATTCCAATGCAGCCAGGTGAAACTGGGGCATTTGGAATGAATATCTCCCCAGAGAAAAGACAGAAAGAGAGGATGAAGGGAGAGGGGAAAGAACTCATAGAAGCCCTGAAAGTACCATTCTTGGTATAGAGGCTCCCGTCGGACTGCTTGCTGAAATCTCCCGGTGAACTCTGGCCAATTGGGGGGAACTGATAAGGCATCTTGGTCCCATTGCCCACTGGAAAATAGAAGAAGCAACATTACATTGAGGTGGAGTAGAAAATGCTTCTCTCCACAAATCTCTGCACATTTTGGCCAGATCCTGTGAGCCTCTCCGCCAGGACTGCAGATCGCGGAATCAGCAATAGTCCCTACCATAGGCACAAAGACAGGATGAATCTGCTCCAATGCAGGAGTAACTAAGTAGGAGGCACACACTTCTTTGAGTTAAGAAGTGGTGGGGGAGCATAGAGCCCACAATTTGGGTGTCGCTTCTTCAATAAAAGCAGGATTGAGAGCAAGAAGAACTCCACTGGAATCAAGAAACAATGGATAAGAAACAAATTTCTATGGCTTTCACTGGCATGAACCTTGATGCCAAGTTCTCCTCAAATTTTCCAGTGTTGCAGAATAAATGGGTCCTGGACCTCATCCTGCAAAGATTTCTGCCACTAGAAGTGCAATATTTAATTGATTAATCAGTTAGGTTAATTGCTTTTCAAAAACCGTTTTAACAACTAAAGAGGTGTCTCTGATAAATTGTCCAGCAGATGATGGTGATGATAATAGTTGTTTTAAAAACTGAAGACAAGCACTGCTTTAAAAGAAGCACCTCCCATCTTCTCTCTTTCAAAGGAAAGAAAACTTCAGAGATGATCCCTGTACTGACATACTGACATATCCATGATTCATTTAAAAAGTGGTAAGGATGCTTCTTCCTCAGAACTATTCTTTTTATCCATATGCAAATATATCCACTTGTTGTCAATTATTTATCAATTAATTGAGTAAAACACATGTGTGTACTTGGCTAAGATTTCTTTAATTGAGTGCTAGCTTTAATTTCTGGCATTACCATAATTAGCTTGCACATTCCTGTAAAAAAATCCTTCTCAATTTGAATTTTTACCCTGTGCAGAGCTGTGCATAAGGCTTTGCTGGAACAGGGCCTCTCCATCTTGCACTCTCTGCGTATCTGGGCCACACTGACTTGTATTTATGGATGCATTCACACAATAAGGTCTGGTTTACAATGCCCTAGAAGGATCCTTTGTGGTAATTTGTCTTTGCCACCTCCCGGTGTTGTTTCATGTAATGTTTGCTAAATGGTGATGCAGGGGTTCGGTGTAGCTGCTTGCACAGAGCCGTAACAAACTGCAGTGTGCACTCACCAAGAGATGCTCCCACCAGTATTTACAGGTTCATCTGAATGGGCCTGAAGCAAGGAGCAAGTTTGCTGTAGTGAATGGCAAAGGGGCATTGCACTGCTTGCCTGCCCGTCCTCCCACTGAGTCACTGCTGCATACTGGGAGGGGGAGGGAGGGAGGGAGGGAGGGAGGGAAGGGGCCAGCATGGTACAAATTCACCAGCAAGAGCACCAGATTGGCTCGACTGGCTTGTTTCCAGCCCGCCAACCTTACTGCCACCTTGTCCCTCCCTATTTCCATCCTGGTATGCAGCAGCAACTCAACCGCAGGGAGGTCAGGTCAGCTGTTTCCCACTGGGGGCCACTCACTGACTCCAACATATAACTGACATGATAAATAACAATGATTTTATTATTTAAACCCTGTTCATATGGCTGTGTTGCCCCAGCCACTCTGGGTGGCTTCCAGCACATATCAAAACATAATAAAATGTCAAACATTAAAAGCTTCCTGATACAGGGCTGCCTTCAGATGTCTTCTAAAAGTTCTGTAGTTCTTCATCTCGTTGACATCTGATGGGAGGGTGTTCCACAGGGAGGGGCCACTACCAAGAAGGCCCTCTGATAACCGAGAGAGTCAATATCTGTACAAACTGTACATGGGCAGGCTCCATCTACAAGACTGTGGGACCCTTGAATAGATCCCCAGTTGTGCAGACAGAACCTATGTGTGTACAGCTTATATGCACTTAAATATGGCCCTGGAGGTGTGTATGGAGTAAATGAGCAGAATTCTGCTCCCTTCTCCATCCATGTTCACTTCAATTTCTGAACCATGCTACACTGACATGGGGAAACAAGAAAAATGGGGAGAGGAGGCATGTCGTCTTCATAAACTGCCTTGTTCCCAATAAATAATGAATATACAGTATATATACCAGAACTCGTAACGGACAAAGAGTGGTTGTGTAAAAGAAATAAGAGTTGGTCCCCAAATTAAGTCGCAGCTTTGGGATGGGAGGACAGGTAGGGGTGCCAATGGGAGACCAACACAGAGAAGTGAATGGATCCTTTCATCTTACATCCATGCAAGAAACTTTTCCATAGCTCATATTCCAAGGGTTAACGGTGCAGCTTTACACTGTGTCAGATCATTGCTTCCTATTAAACATAAGTAGAATCTTGCTGGATCAGTCCAACTAGTCCAGCATCCCTTTATCACAGTGGCCAACCCGATGCACATGAGAAGCCTTCAAGAAAGACCTTAGTACAGCAGCACTCTCCCCACTTGTATCAGGAACTGGTATTCAGAGGCCTATTGCATCTGATAGCGGATGTAGAACATAGTTGATGTAGCTAGTAGCCATTGATAGCCTACTCTTCCATGAATTTGTCTAAACTGCCATTACAGCCATCATTACTACACCATGTGGGAGTGAACCTCTTAGTTTAACTATGTGCTGTGTGAAGAAATATTTAGTACTTCCTTTTTTGTTTGTCATGAATCTTCCAATAGACATCTTTGTAGGATGATGGAGATAGCACAGTCAGTAGAGCATGAGATTCTTAACCTCAGGGTCACGGTTTGAGCCCAACGTTGGGCAGAAGATTCCTGCATTGCAGGGGATTGGACTAGATGACACTCGTGGTCCCTTCCAACTCTACAATTCTATGATTCTATGACCCCAAGTTCTGGTATTATAAGAGAATGTATCCATTCTTTTCCAGTGGATAGCTGGAGAAAGATCAGGACCACGACTATTTTATCCAGCCTCCCCCAACTATGGGACCTTCAGATAACTGAACTACAACTCCCATCATATCTGACCATTGGCAATGCTGCCTGCAGCTGATGGGAGTTGGAGTCTAAAACAGCTTTGGGTCACTAGGCTGGGAAAGGCCGGTCTACTCTAATGATCCAAGGCTCTGACCTAGACACAGGTACAAATGGTGAAAACCTAATGGCATTGACCACGGAGACATTGAGCCTTAGCTCAGCAACCAGAGATCCTTCCCACAAGCCCAAGACGCCTGAACCCAAGACCTCTAAATTTAGACCTGTAGAGAATATCAGCCCCAAGCCTGATTCATTCTGGGGATGTGCATTTTCATCCCTAAAGTCCTTGTATTCTGATGGTCTGCTTGCTAACACATGCAGAGTGTCTAGCTCAAGGTCATGGGCAGGTGAGGGTGTGCTGTGCTCCAGGCCCTTTAAGGATTTGCATTCTTCAGCAGGAGGGTGGAGCCTGAGATGAGCTGTCATGCCTAGGGAGCATCAAAGGGCTCAGTTGAGTCAGTGCTCTTGTTGGAACAACTCCTCTGCTCGTTGAGTTCTGTCTGAGGTCCTCAAAGGTCTACTACCCCTGACTGTCCTAATTTTCAGGATTCTAACTAAAGAACCCATCCTGACTTTCTACTCCACACTGCCTGCCAGACCTTCTCAGCCCTCTCAGGGGCTCTAAATCACCAGCATTGGGCAGCAGTGGCTTTTGGGAGGTCCTGCTAGCTCATGCTTTTTCTTTTTAAATGAAAGCACTGAGGGGTTGGACCCGGGACCATCAGCTTGCAAAGCAGATGCTCTCCTGCTAAGCTATGGCCCCAGGGGTGAATGAAAAGATAGCAACTCTGTAAAAGGGAATTGACAGGGTAAGGTGGAGTGGTGCACCACCAGCGGCAGCATTGAAGGTGTGAAGAGTAGTACCTTTCAGGGAGTAAGCAGAGTTCCCTGCTGTAATGGACTCCTCTGCAGTCTGCAAGGCAGAAAATTCCCAGGCTCTGGTGTTGTAGTTGCCTCCTAGATGAGAGAATTCAGTTAAGGAATTAGTTGGTGAGAATACAAATTAGGTGACTGAGGATTTGCTAGGGGTGGACTTATCTGTCTATTTCAGTTTCAGTCTTCAGTTCAGTTTGGCACAATTTCTGCATCACTGCACTTATTTCTTTTTTTTGGGGGGGGGAGTCCTCAATTTTCACCAGCATTTTAGTTCACACACAATCTCCCCTAATGCGCACCTACATTTTATGTATGCTATTTTCACTAATATAGGCACTTTATGCAAACCTCCCTCTAATATTCTTAAAATTTCGCTTATTGGTTTGGTTATTGGTTGGAGAGGAGGGAATGCAGCAGGTTCACAACATTTCCCTCCCACCAGTAGGATCTGTCCAGTGTTAGAATCTTAAAAACAATCCAATCAGCAGATTTAGAATCAGAAATAATGTACCCAGTCTTAGCAGGAGAAAGAGTTCAGCCTGTGAATGAAACTGTCCATCCTTCTCCTTAGTGCACCAAAGGAGCTTTTGAGCCAAATGACCCAAAGCTCTCCCTGAGTAGCCATTAGTTACATTCATTTACTCACTCATGCTCCATCTCTCAGACTGATTGTCTTGGGGATGTTGGGACTCTGGCTTTGGAAGAGAGATGTGGAGCAGGTTAAGCTGCTCTTTGCTCGAGAGCCATCAGAAGTTCGAAATAGCCTCAAAAGAAATGGTTTTCTTTATTTATCATCTCTATATGCCATCTAGGCCTCCAAACGGGTTAGGAAGAGGACATTTAAGTCTCGCTTGGTTCTCTACTACTGTGAAATGTTCAAAGTAAAATACACAGGGGTGAATCAAAAGAATGAATTTATACTACCTGCACAGAATTATTCGCTAATTCCAGTGGCTTGTTCTCCACTGCTACATAGAGCAGGATTAAATGTAACTGGCTTAAGTTACAGGAGGTTAGGTTTTGGTTGAACAATACAAGAACCCTCCAGCTGTTAAGAGCAATTTAACAATGGAACCAATGACCTGGCTCTCCCTTATTGGAGGTTCTTCGAGCGGAGGGTGGGGTGGCCAGCTACCTGTTGCTGTGGCTAGTCCTGATCTCTGGATTTCCTGCACCACACAGTGGAATTAGACTAGATGGCCTGCCAAGGACCCCACAGACTCTAGCATTCCATGAAAAATCATTAGTTTCCAGTCAACAAATCAGATGAAATGGCACTAAGGGCAAATGAAGCCAGGGGGCACAGGAGAAGAAAGAAAATGGCCTTGAGGAAAAGTACATGGCAAAGGGGACAAAAGGGTGCTGAACATTGAGACAACACAGATCCTTCCATGACTATAAAACAGCCTTCTCCAAGCTTGCGTTTCCTGGGTGTTGGAGGACTCCAACTTCCATCATTCCCCTGACCATTGACTATGCTGGTTGGGGCTGATGAGGGTTGTGGTCCATCAAGATCTGGAGATTTGGGACAGCTGATATATAAAGCTGTAGCAGTTCGCAACACTCACACCAACAAAACTGGTAACCAGGCAGGTAGTTTTGGCTAGCCTCTGCTTCATACCTTTTGGATTCAGGAACATGGAGAACCTCTTCATGCTGTCTGGCTGGTTCCAGTCAGAGTAGTTGTTCATCATGAAACGGTGATCACCTGAAAGTTCATAGCAGAAATGGGGGGGGGGATAAAAACCATAAGACAAGAAGGGAAAAGCAAAGAAACAAAGACTAGCTCCCTGGGTCTAGACTGAGAAGCTGAACCCCAGAAGACTTATCAGGTACACAAAGTTCTTTTTGCGAATGTGATACACATTTAGATGTTTGCTACTTGATGACAGCAGGATCAAGGGCTGAGTTGCATGTACCCAGCACATGGAGCAAAGGTTGTGGTTGGTTATTGGCTCTTGAGAGAGCTGGGGATCCTTAAGTCAGGAGCCAGGACCCTCAACCTCCTTGAGTTATTTTGCCTGGCTAAAATGTGCCTTTGAACTGTCATAATTCCTCTTGCTTGCCTGGACGGAGGGTCAAGAGGTGTAAGTTTGTGTGTGTCAGGGTAGAAGGATCTGTCAGTTTTGGTTCTTTCACTTTCTTATTTTTTCAGCCTTAAATTCAGTCCTCCACATTCCTGCAGAAATTTGTGGTTATTCTGCAGCAAAATCCTCGTGAAAATTCACCAGCCTCTTAGTATGACTTTATAAACAGTGCATTTATATATGCCAATCTGACTCATGTGCCCATTTCCCCCAAGCATTTTCCCCTACTCAAATGCATCTTCGTTGGTTATTTTCACTAATAAGTTTGTTTTGATGCCGCTGCTTAATCTAGTGCATTGTGGGGTTGGAGAACTGCACTGCAAAATCCCCAAATTTCAAAGCTGCATTTTGACAAACAGGTTGATTTAGAAACTGAAAATTAGGCAGGCTCAGGTTAAAACACCAACAAACTCAAATATCACCTGCCGTACAAGGGTAAGGGTCTGCAGTCCTTGAGAAGGTTGCTCACCAAGGAATGTGGCATTCAGACTCAAAAAAGAAAAGCCATTCTCCTGACTTAGCCAAAACTATGCAGAGATGGCTAAGGAGGATGTGTGAAACTGAGCCTGAAGGGAAACTCAGGTCTTTCTTCTAGGCTGTCACTGGGGCATCTGTCACTGGGAAGCATCAATGGTTCAAACTCAGGAGTGCATCTGATTGTGCCCTGTGTGATCTAATGAGTGTCCCCATGCAGAAATCCCACTGATCGGGAGGAAACTGTGTTTCACGGAAGCTGGTATTTTGTGACCTAACCTGTACTTTATGACCACCTACTAACATCTATTATCAGTTCCAGCAGAGTTCCCTTCCTTCTGCCTTCTTTCTGCTATTCCAACCCTTGCTGGAGGAGGCATCCACTTATCTGCACTCTTTGCAACTCCCCACAGACTTGGCCAGCTGTGAAAATTGCATTGTAGCATCTCTGAATGAGACACCACTTACAGAACCAGGTGCTAAAGTTCCCTTTTCTTTTGTAGAACAGAAGTAGGTGGAGCAAACAGAGTTTTGTCTTGGATGAGTGTAGGTGGATGGCAGTGGATGACGCAACCCTTCTCTCCTAAACTGGACACAGGACTTCTTAAAAAGAAACCCTATTACTTTAGTACCTTTCAAATTTGGTTTTATTATGTGAAGGGTCAATTAGTGATTCTGTCAAGTTTTGGATCTCTTTTCCAACCCTAAATTAAATTCTCCACAGTTTGCCATTAGAAAAAAAGGCCCTCATGAACATCCACCAGCATTTTAGTGTGAATTTATCTCAATATACATATTTTTGTATGCCTTTCCCCCTTAATATAGGCAATTTTGCAAAGCAATTTCCCTTAACATGATGGTGGGAACGTTGGATGACATTTTCACAAATATATGCATTCCTATGCACATTTTACTCCAGTATACAGTGGTACCTCGTGTTGCATAACCTCCAGGTTACAGAATCTTCGGGTTATGGCCACGGCAAACCTGGAAGTATATACTTCCGGGTTTCGCCACTCACACATGCGCAGAAGTGCTCTGCATGATGTGCGCATGCATAGAAGTGCTCTATCGCACTGCGCACGTGTGCAGAAGTGGCACCTCTAGCTACAGATTTTTTGGGGTGCACACGGCACCCCGAAACAAATTAAATTGGTAACCAGAGGTACCACTGTGTGTATTTTTGTACATATTACTTGAGTGGAGAATTACGTTGCAAAATTCAGAGAAGTGTGAATTTCAAAGGATGGGTGTGTTTTGGTTCATGCACTGCTTCAGAAAGTGTGTTCACCTTTAAATGCAAACTGAATCCCTTTTCTCCCTCATCCTGAGGCACAGTTAAAAGGGGATTATTTTTGTTGTGGTGGTGGCTTTAGGGATGTGGCCCAAGTCTCTGAATACTTTGCCAGCAGGGAAAGAAAAAAATAATCCTGGTCATTTATTTGGAAAGTATAAATTCTCTTGATGCAGAAGGCTCTACATCCATCCAAAAAGAACAGTGATTTCCATAACCTTCACTAAGAGGCAACATGGGGAGATATGTTTGGTCTAATAAAGTCTAAGCTTAATGTGATGTGGGAGATCCCTGAATACAGCTTCCAAATTCTTTTCCTTTTTTGTAAAAGCCACTCATCATGCCTTGATCCAAACTGGGTTCATTTTGCTGACATAAATTTCTCACTTTCCAAAGCTACTATTAATCACAGAAGGGGAATCATCAGTATGCTTTTCTCTTCTATAGTCAGTGGAAATGGAAATGGTTTGTGATGGGGAAACACACTGGGGTACCTCAATATTGCTTTGAGTAAAAAAAACTAACCCAAAAAACAAACCATGGGGTTATAGACAGTCCTGGGCCTACTCAGAGTAGACCCGCTGAAGTTAATAGAAATGAATTTATTTATTTATTTATTTATTTATTTATTTATTTATTTATTTGATTGATTGATTGATTATATATTGCCCTTCATCATAATATCTCAGGGTAGTTCACAGAATAAAATACATGATTAGCATAGGTTCATCCATTTCACTGGGTCAACTAAAAGTGCAACTACTATGTGTTGCAAAGATCCATGCAGATGGATAGCACTACAGATATACTTATCCACCATGGCAATGGGAAATTCATGAATGGAACTTATGTCTCATATATTAGTTTGTTCCTAGTACTAATAATATGCTTTTAAAAAAATCCCAGTGCTTTGAACACATTATCTCATCGACTGCTGCAGCAGGCCATTAATCTTGTCACCATTTTACAGACAGGAAAGGTGAGGCTGTGTGAATATTGGCTCCTGTGGATTTGGGATGAGGTTATTGTGGGTGGTATAATTGCAAGCTCCCTGGGGTCATAGACTGCTCTTTCCTCTTGATAAACCCATTAGGGTTGTCCACCAGAGTGGTGAACCAGTGGCCCTCCACATGCTGTTGGACTTCAGCCCCAATCAGGAATCATGGAGTTGTAGTTCAACAACATCTGTAGGGCCACAGGTTCCTAGCCCCTACTTAAAAGTCCTAAACATTTGGGGGCTGGCTTAACTCAAGGACCACCTTCACTCAGATGAGCTGCCCTCCATATTTTAAAATCAGCTGCAGAGGCCCACAAGTACAGTCTACTAAGTTCACAAGCACAGAACCTTGTCAGTGGTGGCCCCACAGTTATGAAATTCCCTTCCTACACAACTACAAAAGGTCCCTTCAGTGCAGGCCTTTGGACATGCCTTGGAGAATCTAAATGTATTTAACCATGTTTCTTGTGCTACTGATTCCAGAGACTTAATATTTCCTTACGGTACAAGATCCCCTTCGGCCTTTTGCTGATTTGTGTGGGATCTGTCCTGAAAACTAATGCATGGCCCTGCAGCAGTTGCTTGTTGGACTACAGCTCCCATCATCTCTGATCATTGGCCTTGATGGAGACCCTCAGTATCCAGAAAGCCACAGGTTTGTTGTTCCTGATTCACATGCTGCCCAAATATGCCTCCTTCCCTTTCTAGCACCCTTCTTGATCTTCAGTTTTAAATTGGGGGGTATTTTGGGTATTTTAAAATGCTGGCTCAGAAAGCTAGATTAGATTGTACCCATGACTGCACTCAGCCCAGTTCTATGTTTGATCTGCTTCCTCGTATCTTATTATTGCACCAGAGTGTTCCAGCATGTCTCTGGCACGTTAGATGTGTTTGAAGCCTAGAGAGATTTGTAAGACCCTTTGCCAAGGAACAAACAGAGGCATGTTTGATACAGATCTTAATGAAATGATAAAGATCTGGGGTTTCCATGGCAACCTTCATCAAGAGCCACATCAAAGACCTTTCCCTGCGATAGAAGCCTTTCTCTGACTCCTCATCTTCCCTACGCAAACGGAAAGGTGGTGAGAGTCATTACTCGCACATAAATGCCAGCCCCTCTGCCCTGGGCAAAGTAGATTGTGTCTGGAGGCCCAGTGATGATCTATCTAGGCATCTATCTGGTTCTCAGGACTGGGAGCTGCCAAGAGTTAATTCATATTTTTTGGTTTCTCAACTCCTCGTGATGTGGAGAAATATTCTCTCCATTTTACAGATAAGTATCTGAGACATGAAACAGATTAAGGCCTTATATTCCCTGCATTATTGGGTTGGGTTTTTTTTTTAAAAAAGTGGGTAATACATCTCACAACTGTCAGCAGTTTTCATGGAGCCAGAAATTACGTGAATTATAAGCAATGATTAAGAACTACTGTGTTTCACAGCACAGTTTCACAGCATCAGCAGGGAAAGAATGTAACTGCAGCCAAAACAAAATGCCATGGATGTTTTAACACTGACATCTGAATGGACGATTTCCCTTTTGTGCTGTAAAGGATAATTTTGGATGAAATGAATTGGCAGTCAGTTCGGTTTTGACAAAGGGAAGCAAGTCATTTACAGAGCAAAACAACTTTGTGCTCCACGAGCCCCTTATCAGCCCTTGTGTTGGATAGGAGAATTATTCTTTGAGGATATATCCCGACCCTCTATGGTCTGAGGATCTCACAGACCTGGCTACTTGCAAACATATTTCATACAGGTGTCAATTTCATGTGGTTACCTATTTGGAAATCTTGGGTGCTTATATTAATTTATATGTTTAATTTAAGATCTATGTACTGATGGTCACTGCATTGTCCATTTATTTATTTATTTAATTTTTATCCCACCTTCTGCTCCAAGAACCTCAAGGGGGTGTACACTGTCCTCCCACTTCTTGCTTAATTTCTGCCACATGTGAGAAGTGCCATTTTAGTAGGTGAAATTCAATTTGGGGGGGGGGAATCGGTGAGGGGTCTTAACAATATGTTTTGGGGCAATGTTTTGAGGAATTCAAATCTCCTATTATTTTTGTGACTGGACAACATTTAGCTTGGCAAGTCTACCTTTGATGAAGAAGCACATAAATTAGTTTTTGAAAACCAAATAATTTTAATTTTACCTTCTGAAAATGTCAGGTAATGCTAAATAAAAATAATTAATAAAACTGCAAGTACTTGGCAATCATTTTTAATGATTTCTATGCAATTCTCCACACTTTTTACTTAGCAAGCAAAATTAAATAATATGAATTTAACCAAAATACAGTGGTACCTCGGGTTAAGTACTTAATGCGTTCCAGAGGTCCGTTCTTAACCTGAAACTGTTCTTAACCTGAAGCACCACTTTAGCTAATGGGGCCTCCTGTGGCTGGCGTGCCGCTGGAGCACAATTTCTGTTCTTATCCTGAAGCAAAGTTCTTAACCTGAAGAACTATTTCTGGGTTAGCGGAGTGTGTAACCTGAAGCGTATGTAACCCGAGGTATCACTGTATATTCCAAATTCCCAGGTCATGTCACAACTTTTTAGCACACCTCATTTTTGGAATTTGAAAGTTGAAAAATTCAACATGTCCTACACAGCTATGTGTGGTAGGTCAAGCTCAGAAGCAGTGACTGTTCCAAGGTCACACAGTAAGCATCATGACTGAGTGGGGATTTGAACTCAGTTCTCCCAGGTTTTAGTCCAACACTCTAACCACTCAGGGTGTAGTGTTGGGGTGTGTGTGCCAGGGAAACTGAGTATTGGGCTGCGGAAAAGATTTGTATCAGTTTACACTTTAATGCTGATCCACATGATCCTGAACCAACACGAAAACCTAAACACAGCTGTCCTCCAAAATTGTGCTTCCCTGAATTATGTGATATACTTCGTCAACCCAAAGCTGCATGTGTTAGTGGAAAGTGTGTGTATATATTAATGGAAGCAATGCACCAAAATGTGTTATGTTAGAGGGATAACTTGCAGAAATGTAAACACTAGACAAAAGGAATGTGCAGGAATGTGTGTGTTGGGATGTGTGTGCACAAAATATATAAAAAATGTTCGTGTAGATTTTTTAAAAAATGCAAACTGATGCAAAAGTGGGGCAAATCGAACATAAGACAGGTGAAAACAAGAAAATGAGAGAAACTGAAATTGGTAGATTCTTCCATTCCTACATGTGGCCAGCCAGATGTTTTTGGACTTCAATTCCCATCATCCCTGATTATTGGCTGTGCTGACTGGGACTGATGGGAGTTGGGGTCCATTAACACCTGGAAGGCCCCAGGTACCCCACTTTTGGCTTAGACAAACTCATGAAGGTGAAATTTATTGGTGGCTATTAGCCATAATAGCCAAGTGAAATCACTACATTCCATTTATTGGGTGTGATTATTCTGCTGTATTTGTTGCATTTTTATTGCTCCGCCTTTACTGATTAGCTAAATTGATGCATGATTTATTAAGTATTGCACTTTGAAGTCTCAGCTGTTCACTTAAGGCATCCTGTGTCTTAAGATGGAAGGGTAGAGGTAAGCGATGCTGTTTTTACAGGGAGGCTGTAAATATTTTTATACTGACCAGGCATTTGTATAATGAGGCAAACTATTTTCTGGTGAAGCTTTTACTGATGTTATTTGCTGTTGAATTGCTGCTGTTGCAACCTTGTGGTTTACATGATGTCTTATTTTGCATAATTGCTTCTCTATTGGTTGTTTGCCACCCTGAGCTCCAGTTTGGAGGAAGGGTGAGATCTAAGACTGAAAGAATGACTGGATGGATAGATAGATAAATAAATTTCATTTGTCACTAGGTGAAATAACTTAAAAAATAAAATAAAATCCCAGGCTTCTTAGAACTGTGGTTTAAGCTCTGCTTTTATGTAGCTGCTCCTACATTTCATCTGCAGAACTTTTATCATTAGTTTTGGTTTGGATAATATTATTGCCGGTTTTTAAAAAATATTGTATTTTGAGCTGGTTGGGGAACCTTTGCATTGAAGGGTGAAATAATAAAGACTTTTCAAAAAACAAAAAAGTGTACAGGAAGGATGCCTTTGCTTTGGGCAAATAAAGAGGAAAAGTTCTACAATTGTTTCTGCAAGTTTGAGCTCCAAGTATACTTCAAATGATAAAAGACCAAAGATAGTGAATAACTTCTCAGTGCAATCTTGTGCGTGTCTACTCAGAAGTAAGCCCAGTGATTACAAAGAGATGTTCTCAGTAAAGGTGGGTATAGGAGATGGCACTGTAATCTCAGAAACAGACAGGCCAGGGGCCTTCCTCAAGGGGAAGCAGGACCTTGAACCGCTTCTAAACTGAATTAAAAGGCCAAGTGGAATAAGTTCCCCTTACCGTTCTCCATGTGGTTCCTCTCGATGAAGTTCCTGCTGAGGTCTGCCTTGCAGATCTTCTCAACATGTCTCATGCACACGTTCAGGAGGTCATCTCTCAGTATCCCCATAGACGGGCTCATGTTCTCTCCCTCCAGCAGGATGCTGTATGTCGGCAGGGATGGTGGAATGGTGTAGCTCCTCATCATTGCTCCAAATTCCTGCCAGGAATAATAGCGATAAACAGAAGTGGCGTACAGAGGAGGAGCAGGGTTTGGTCTGGACAAAGCCGCTGGGGTGAAGCTAAGCAGACCTAGGTCTGGTCATTGGTCTAAATATTGATGGACCACTCAGAAATCCTAGATATGCCACCTTGAGTTCAATAGAATATCTTGTAGTGATCCAGGGTTGCAAGGGGGGGTCAAAGACTGATTACTATTTCTGCAGCAGGGTCCCTGTCTCCAGCGTCCTAGGGCTACTCAATCTCCATGAAAGAGGAGCTTTCTAGCCACTGTCTACTCCAAAGCTAGGGATTTAGGAACACTGAAAATACAAGGTGAATCCATTTCAAGAAAACGATGCACAGGGTCTGTTATGTACAATGGAACTTCATGGAAAGTGCAACTTAAGTCACTGCCGAATAAGATACTGGAGTGCTCCTAAAAATTTGCCCATGTACATGTACAGAAAACAGTGGATCTAGCTAATGGCAGCTCGTGGAAACCTGCATTGATTATGGCAGTGCAGCCCTAATTATTATTGTATAATTATAAGCTTATTGAATCATTGTGGAAGGCATGTGCTTCTGAGGGGGTATGGCTGTGACCACCAGGAGCAGACCCTCCATTTCTGAATTTGCCACTACACTACTGAACATAACTCTATTAGAAATAAAAAGACAGTGAACATATCAAAGGTAGCCAGTATGATGCATTCCAAATGTCACTGGATTGCAAGTTAGATCTTCATTTGCCATGCTAGCTGGGGCTGATGGGAGTTGAAGGAATAATAATAATACCCCACCCATCGAACTGTGTTGCCCCATCTGAAGGACACAGCAAGTGAATAGCCCTGATGCTCAGGATAGTGGATGAAGATGAAACGTTTGAAAGGATGTGGTCAGCCTCTGGTGAACTCCTTACAGTTCAAAGAGGATTCCCAGTGTTTGGCTGAGAACTGGGATTTCAATACTCTCCTTCCCTTTTACCAGTGCTGACAGAATAAATGAAGCATTGACATCTATGAACAGCTGTTTAGTTTGCTTTATGTATGATTTAACTTTTGGGGGGGCGGAGGTGCTGAGTCTGGAGATGTATACATATTTGCATAAATTATAGGCCAAGGTGGAAAAACTTCATCCACCCAGGTGCTACTTGACTACAACTCCCATTATCTTCAACCATTGGCCATGCTGGCTTGGGCTGATAGGAAATAGAATCCAATAATATCTAGAGGGCCACAGGCTGCCCACCTTGCTATAGACAAATCAGACAATAGTGTAAAGGTGCTATATAGCGAAGTCTTAAAAGCATGCAGGTATTTTTTCCATCTGACCTCTTTATTGGATCGGAGACTGGCCCATGAGGGCAAATGGGGTATTGCCCCACCAACCTCAGTCTGCCCTCCCTCTCACCAGCCCAGCTTCTAACAACAATTCCGGGGGGGGGGCACTGTCTATGGCAGTTTCCTCCTCCTTAGTTTCAGTGCTGCCCTTGTGGAACTCTGCAGGGAGGATGGAGACAAAATTAGCTCATTGGCTCTAGCTCCACCTAGTGTTGGCCTCCCTGCCTTCTGCCCTACCAGCCCCAATAGGCACCAGCCACCACAGTCAGCATGGGGGGGGGAGGGGAACAACCTTGCATACCTGCAGGAAGAGAACTGAGTCACTGATCTGGCCTATCTGCTCCCTGGTTTCCTTGTCTTCTTGCAAGAGTTTGGCCCTTTCTTCCAGCTCCTCCACAATCTCCTTGATGTTCTCCACGGCAACCTTCTCCCTGTGATCCAAACCGGCCTTCACTTCGTCCCGCTGCTTCTCCAGGTCACGGATCAGCTCTTTGAAATGCTGATCCACCGTGGCTTTCTCATTGGTGGTGAAGTTCTAGACGAAGAGACAGGGGGATAGAAATGCGCTGACTCATCTACCACAAAGCTTTTTCTCTGCATGGCTGGAGCTGACATTTGTCACAAAACGAAATGCCCATCACCGGTAGAGAGCAAAACCAAACCCCTTCTCCCTGATGCCCTAGTTTTCTGTGTGCAAGGATGCTCTGAAAATTGCAGACCCACACCGGGAGTGTGATGTGGGATGCCCAGGAAAAGCTGCACCAGTTCAATTTCCTGAGTGCATGTTTTAGAAACGTATGGGAGGGTGGAGGCTGGTCATTTCAGTGTTATGTCACTGACATTTCTAGACACCTTCATGCAAAGTATATCCTTGCAGGTGTGACTTATATTGTGTGCAGAATCTGATATAGAAACCATCATATCAGGGGTGGGGAACCTCAAGCCATGGCAGGAGCAAATGTGGCCCTCAAGGTCTCTCCAACTGGCCCTCTCTGGCTTTGTTTCATACCCTGGGTGTTTTTCCCCTGTCTGGGATGTATCCTTCGCCTCTGATGCTGCCTTTTGCTTGTCCAGATGGAGGACAGAGAGGGGTATGTGAGCATGATTAGAAACTTGACAAAAAGTCAAATTTATATTTATTGCTTCATCCACTTTCCCTCTGGCTCTACCCACCATTGGCATGTGGCCCTCAGAAGCCTACACAGAAGGAAATGTGGCCTTCAGACTGGAAAAAGCTTCCCCACCCTGGTCTAGATTGTTAAGAGTAGCTGAACAAGGAGAAGTCTGAAAGGGTGCTTTTGTGCACAGTACAACCTGCAGGGCAGAGGTATAACAAAGCACTTCAAGATGACATCATCATCAGTTGATAGCGTCCCAGGTTTCCTCTGATCTAACCACGTTAGCTGTTTCTACTGAGAACGTTTCCACCCACACAGAGATTCTCAGCTAAATCCTGCACTCAAAACATTCTGGTCGTTTCCCAGTGAATCAGGAGTCCTGTGAAACCCTGGGGAGACTTTTAAGGCAGACTTTTGACGACCTGGTGCCCTCCAAATCATTTAGGCCTCTAGTGGGTGTAGCAATATCTTGAAGTTCCAAGTTGGGGAAGACTGGCTTAGAACTGGTGCAGAACTAGGTTCAGAGCTCCACTCAGCAATGAAGCTCACTGAGTGTCCAGACAAACTTTCCCTGCCTGTCCTGCCTCGTAAGGTTGTTGAAAGGATAAAATGGGTAGAGGATACAGAGCAAATAAACAGGCATGCCACCCTGAACTCCTTTGCGGTAGGTCAGAGATTTATTTATTTTTTTAAATGTAATAAGTAGTAAAAGAATGAAGATTACATTAACATGGGACACAGTGAATCCATATAATGGAAGTTCCCATGCTCAGGCGTTCTCCTGCGATTTGGAAACAGAAAAAGCCGGCTTTGCATATATTGCTTGACATGATTTTTTATTTTTGCAACACCCTCGGATATTCAGGGATGAGCTCTGGCAGTCGAGATAAGCAGACAACTTTGGCGGAGCCAAGGCGCAGAATTTAAATGTGCTGGGTAGTCCCCGGAGTGTGAGACGAGCTTGTGTGTTCCAGGCCTTCTGCCAAGTTAGATGTATGGGCCTATTCTCCCCACCCCCCCACCCCACTTCTAGTCCATGCGGTTGGTCTGGCCCTGAAGAGATACTCGAAAAGAAAAGTGAGCAAGAGGTAGAGGTGAGAAGATGAGCGGAGGAAGCAAAATGACATCTTAGGAGAACCATATGGGGAGGAAATGGAAGTGAGAAGAAAAAAAGAGCAAGGCAGATGAAGGTGGAAGCCTCCAGCTGTATCTAATGCTGGTCCTACTCAGAGTAGACTCACTGAAATTTATTTAGTAAATTAGGTCCAGTCATGACTGACTCTGGGGTTGCGGCGCTCATCTCGCTTTATTAGCTGAGGGAGCCGGCCTACAGATTCTGGGTCATGTGGCCAGCATGACTAACCCGCTTCTGGCGAACCAGAGCAGCACACAGAAACGCCGTTTACCTTCCCGCCAGAGCAGTACCTATTTATCTACTTGCACTTTGACGTGCTTTTGAACTGCTAGGTTGGCAGGAGCAGGGACCAAGCAACGGAAGCTCACCCCGTCGCGGGGATTCGAACTGCCAACCTTCTGATCGGCAAGTCCTAGGCTTGCCACTCGCATCTTTTAGTTGGCTATAAAACATTGATATGCCACTATTCATAAAAATGTGTGAGAATAGTTTACAATGGTATATATTTAATAATAATAATAATAATAATAATAATAATAATAATAATAATAATATCAGAAATCATCTAGCTATTTTGGAAAGCATCTGTTTTCATTGCCTGCAGAAACCTGGTGGGCTTGAAATGTTTTTAGCAAGCATTTGAAAGCTGAAGCAGAACCTCGCTGCTCAGTCTCTATTGGGAGAGCATCCCACACGATCGGGCCAATGACACTTAAGTTCCCTCTTCACAGGGAACTTTGGGAATTGGAGTTTTCTGAGGGAGTCTCCTAGCAATTCTCAGCACACCTTAACAAAACTACAGCTCCCAGAATTCTTTGAGGGAAGCCATGACTGTTTAAAGTGGCATCAAAGTGCTTTAAATGTATGGTGTGGTCATGGCTTCTAAAGGTAAAGGTAAAGGTACCCCTGCCTGTACGGGCCAGTCTTGACAGACTCTGGGGTTGTGCGCCCATCTCACTCAAGAGGCCGGGGGCCAGCGCTGTCCGCAGACACTTCCGGGTCACGTGGCCAGTGTGACAAGCTGCATCTGACGAGCCAGAGCAGCACACGGAACGCCGTTTACCTTCCCGCTGGTAAGCGGTCCCTATTTATCTACTTGCACCCGGGGGTGCTTTCGAACTGCTAGGTTGGCAGGCGCTGGGACCGAACGACAGGAGCGCACCCCGCCGCGGGGATTCGAACCGCCGACCTTTCGATTGGCAAGTCCTAGGCGCTGAGGCTTTAACCCACAGCGCCACCCGCGCCCCGTCATGGCTTCTGCTGGAGTGCAAAAAGTAGGAGGAAGGAAATGAGCAGAACAATGAGGGGGGAGTAGTTTTGGGAAGAAGAGGGAAGCGGGAGGATTTTGTGTGGCTCTCACCTTGATACGGTCCCTTTCTTTCTGCCACTTGTCCACTTCATCTTCCAGCTCAATGATTTTCAGCTGCAGCTGCTCTTTCTGCAGAGAGAGCTCAGTCTGTGGAGAGGAAAGAAAGCCACCAATGAAATCAAACTCTGCTAGGCGGCAGCTTCAAAGCCCACAGATGCTGCTTACTTTTGCCCTTGGCCCCTGGACTGCAACTCCCATGAGTTACAGGTTCCTGGCAATTAGAAGTATCTATCACAGATAATCAAGCCCATCTAGATAATCTCACTAGTTGGGTCAGGCAATCCCAATCCCCAAGCCGAACACACACACACACACACACAAAGCTAGACTTAAAGCTTTGAGCAGATTCCTATCTACCCTCATGAATTGGGTTTTTCTTAAGGGGGTTAGGATTATGCTTTCCCCCCCCATCACATTAATGTGGATTGCTGTGGGGGGTGGAGGGTGTTAAGGAGCCAGATTTCAAAATCCAGATGTGTTTGAAGCCCAGGGCCCAGCCCAGGGTGTGTCGCTGCAACAATAACAGTTTTCCATGTAATTACAGGATGACGTGGCCCATGTTGCAACAGAGAGGAGGACGCCCTGGGCAGAAATTTTGTTTAGACATGACCACAGATTCATTCGCTCTGCGTCTAGCCCTTTGACGATGCCATGATCAAGGCAGGGTGAGGAAGACAGTGAGAGCAGAAAGGAGGACTGAAATCCACCAGGTCGCTCGGGCACTGTTTAATCGCAGCCCACTTTGTCCCTTCCAAGCCTTGAGAGCAGAGGCAGAAAGGGTTAAGAGTTGTGCAGAGATGTGTTTGCATGGCTGGCTGTCCCTTGACTGGTGCATGATTCTAGGAACAATTTGCCTGTCCAAAGATCAGGTTTGTCCAGGTAGATGAAAATGTGACAGAGGGCATCTGGAAGGAAGACGGTTCTCTGCACCTTCCCCCAGTTCTCCACTGCAATGTGTGGTCCGGTGATTCAGCTGTGATTCCTGCGTTGCAGGAAGCTGGACTACATGATCCTTGGGATCCAACTCTACAATTCTATGACTGACACCTGGATTTCAATGCATGAGACGCACAAATAGGCGTGTTTGCCCTAGTGCAAATCTTGGAGTTGCTGTGTACTCGGTGTGCAGTCAGTCTTTCTGTGTGGTGTGCACTAGGCACGGGGTCAGTTTCACATCAGTAGTTCATCCCACGACACACCCAGAGCCCTGCACTCACATAGCTGCTCTTTGTAAGAATCTAAGAACTGCTTTGTGGAGTAGAGGTCTGCCTAGCCCAGTCTCTGGTTTCCAACAGTGACCAGCCACAAGATCACAAGCAGGTAAGGCACATTTGTCCCCGACATCTACTATATCCAGAGATACACTGCACTTGAATGTGCAGGCTCCATTTAGTCATCGTGCCAAATCAAATTACTATCATGCTAATTCATGTCTCCACATTATGAAATTTAGCCACCCAGAGAAAGATAACTTGGTCCTGAGAGATGAACAGTTTTTTCTAGCCTTCCTTTGTTTATCCTGTGTGTGCTAACATAGCACCGCTAGAAAGGAACACTACAAGGAACCTAAGTGACTGTTATGTTGGTCCCGATTTTACATCAATGAGACAGGAATACTGTGATGATGATGATGATGATGATGATGATGATGATGATGATGATGATGATTTATTTATACCCCACCCATCTCACTGGGTTTCCCCAGCCACTCTGGGTGGCTCCCAACAAAATATTAAAAGCACAATAAAACATCAAACATTAAAAACTCCCCTAAAAATTCCTTTCTTTCAGGATAGCAGGTAGGGAAAAAGTGACCCACAAGCCAGTCATTGGGGCTTCCCAATATGGCCAGGGGTATCCCTTCCTTGCCCCGATCCCCCTCTCACCCCACTCACCCAAAACAAACATAGCAATCTCCTATTGACCCCAAAAGAAAACCTTTTGTCCAAACCTAATTGCAGTACAAGGCACCTTTTTGGGAGGAGGCCACAGTTGGGAAGGGAAGGGTTAACTTGACAAGGTACCGGAAAAGGAGCACTACCTCTAAACATATCTGAAAGTGTTAGACACATCTTTATTCATTATTATATTCATCTAATTCTCCAGATTTCATACACACACACCTCTAGTTATGGGTGTTGCTGGAATTGAACAACCTTTAATTTCCAAATCAATTAATCCAAAACATGCATGCTCTTCTCTTCATCTTACTGCTTAGCAGTCTTTGGAAATTCCCACAGGGGCTTTGGACACATTTGCACAATCCAACTAATGCAGCTTAGTTAACCTGGACATCATTCAAACATTGTGTTTTTCAGATGAACCAGAAAACAGATGGGTGACAAAAGGCGAATTATTTTCTCTCTGCCAAACTGAGAAAGTGAATCAAGAAAAAAACCCTCCTACAATCCTATGTCAACACACGCTTTTCATTAATAAAACCTGGTGCACTCTGCAATAAATCTACAATGCAGATAAATAACACCATTTCACATGCTGAATATCTAATGGAAAGGGAGGAACTCAGCCAAATTTATCAGATCTCTTGGGTGGACCCTTTAAAAAAAGAAGAAGAAGAAAAAGATAAATATTGTAATTTGTTTCACACCCAGGCCCTAAGGGTATAAGACAAGAAAATCTTCCACCTCACTTTTGCCTTATGGTGCAATCCTGAGAAGTGAGTTAGGCTGAGAGGCAATCACTTGCCCAAGGGCAGCCCATGAGAAGCAGGAAATAAAAGAAATTTGAAAGCAGGACAAAGTCCTACACTCCCTCCATTACCCCACACTAGCTGTGTCATGAAATTCGGATAGCGTGGATCTGAGAACATGCCCCTTAAATCATGTGTGGTCTCACACTGCTGTTGGACTTTGCAAGCACATAGTAACCAGGAACTGTTCCGCTAAGGGCAGACCTCAATTGCCTACCTGAACTGGTTTAACAGCCAGCTCAGCCACCCTCCAACAAACCCAATGAACTATGGCACCATAGACATGCCAGTGATCTCTTACCAAATCACTTCTGCAGCTTGAGAAAACCAATGCCCATTATGCCTTTGGGTGGAAAGCCATGATGGTCAAGCCATTTTGTATGGAAACCAGTACATGTGTTTATAATGTATGTAATGGGGTGGCACATCCAATTTTGCCACCTGAGGCAAAACAGGAAGGTGCTGCCCTGCTTCCGCAGTGGTCTCCTTCACCTAGGCTGAATAGTGGTGGGTTCCAGATAGATCTCACAAAGTGCATGTGATCTCATGAGATTTTGGTGAGATCTCATAAGATCTCAAGGGAAATCAGTGCTGCCACCGGTACTGCTTCTCTGTCACCTTGTAGGCTTCCGCCACCTGAAGTAAGATATCTCAGCCTGCCTCATGGGTGGGCCAGCTCTGGGATGTGCCATAAACATCTTTCATGCCCCATCTAGGGATGAGCAAACATGAGGCTCTTTTCTTCCTGAAAAAGAACTGAGTCCCTTCAAGCCTTCAGGTACTGCACTCAAATGCTTAAAACTCCATCTAGGAGAGTTTCAGGGTTTCAAAAGAATGCCCAGAGGGACCCAGTTTCTTACTCCACCCGTTACTCAGTCCCCAAGGAGGTAGTGAAAGAACTTGGGGGCAGGTAGATGGAGTATAATGCAGTGAATAGGGCCGGCCCTACCATTAGGCAGAATGCAGCAGATGGGTAGAAATTGTGGCAGGAAAAGCAGGAAAATGCCGCCCAGTCTGCCCTGCACTCTTTTGATGCTCTCATGTCCAGTGGAGGCAAGCAAAGTAGAATACAGTTTAGCTACCTGTCCAGTTAACATTTGCACATAGAATTGTGGTGGGATGGTGGGCACCTCCTATATTTTGCCTGGGGCAGCAATATAATGTCTGATGGATGGAATTATCATCATCATCATCATCATTTACCCACTCTTCATCCTAAGGTCCTAAGGTAGATTACAACAATTAAAACACTGTATTAGAAACAGTTTAAAACAACTGGCAATCACAGAAATAAGGTAGGTCCTAAAAAAATACACCTCTGTAAAGGGTCTTCTGTAAAGGGTAAAGAGGTGGGTCTTCAGTATTTTCCAGAAGCTGTATACTGAAAGTGCCAGGGGAGGGAGTTCCACAGCATGGGGGCTGCCACAGAGAAGGTCCTCTCCTGGACCACCCCAAGTTTCTGAGACTGATGGTACACCCAAGAGAGTCTATAGGGAAGGAACAGATCTTTCAGGCGTTTGGGAGTATGTACCACCTGTGCTCCAAAGTGATCAGAATGTCACAGGACTTTAGGAAGTTGCCCGCGGCAGAACATAGTGCAATCTCCTAAAAGGTGGAGACATGTGAAGCTAACTTAATAAAGCTTTGAAGTTGGGTATTTTAGGATGTTAAGTAATATAACATGCTCCTGCATGTTACTTAGAAAAAAAGAAGACTTCAATTATTCTAAATATGATGGTATATCTTTTTTTTAAAAAAAAAAAGAAGAAGAAAAATGGGGTAAATCCTAGCTAACATCCCAGGAAAAGGAGAGTGAAGCTTATTTTGTGAAGGATAAGCTACATGCCTATTTTTGCTATCCCTGTCACTTCATGGTTTTACAGTTTCTGGGGCTTTTTGTTTTAAGTGAATTATGCAGTCAGCAAAATATTCCTTTTTGAGTGTTATTTCATTTTAATATGTACGTATTGTTGCATGCCACCCCAACCTCCAAGCAGTCAGAGACTCCAGGGATGGATGCTTTCCCACAGTTTTGTTTCCTTGGAATGAAGTTCACTGGGGTCTTTCTAGAATCCTAGAATTGTAGAATTAGAAGGGACCCCAAGGGTCATGTAGTCCAACCCACAGCTATCCCAGGGTGGGCTCAAACCACCAACCTTCTGATTAACAGCCAGACACACTAACCCATTGCACCACAGAGAATCTTCAAGGAAGCCCTCCATCGCCTGCTACTCTGTTGTGGACCCAAAGGTGAGTCCATGAAAGAGAGGGACAAGGTAGCATCCGGTGGAAGTCTGAGGCTCAAGCAAGCATGATCAAAGCTGGTGCCTGATAATGCCAAGGCTGTATGTTTAATTTCCATATGGGACAACTGCAT